TTCTTAACAAATTCTAGCTTTGGTGCATTCTCTGAGTCGCCTATGGATATGGATTTCATGGAGGAACTCTTCTTTGATGGATGTTGGCTTGAGACAACAGATGGTAAGAGCTTGAAGCAGACAACATCAGGACAAACAGCTTCTGATTCTACCACCATGAATGACAACAACAACTCTTTTCTTTATGGTTATCAATATGCAGAGAACTCTTCTCAATATCATATCTCCAATGAAGAAACAGGGAGAAAGTTTCTTCCGATAACACCGGGTTTTCTCAAGATCGAAGATCTCTCAAATCAACCGATGAATCAAGTATCTTTGACCGACCAGTCTGCAGCTATGAGTTCTGCACAAGCAGAGAAGTTTCTCCTTGAAGAAACTGAAGTAGGAAGAAGATGGTGGATTGCTCCAAGAACAAGCCAAGGAGGACCTTCGTCATCTGTTAAAGATAGACTAGTACAAGCTATAAAGGGTCTTAACGAGGCAGTGCAAGATAAAGACTTTCTTATACAGATATGGGTTCCAATTCAACAAGAAGGCAAGAACTTTCTCACAACTTTGGAACAGCCACACTTCTTCAACCCGAAATACTTGAGTCTTAAAAGATACAGAGATGTTTCAGTGGAATATAATTTCCCTGCTGATGAAGATTCCAAGGAGTCTGCTGGTCTCCCTGGTCGTGTTTTCCTTGGGAAATTACCTGAGTGGACTCCTGATGTTCGGTTCTTTAGAAGCGAAGAGTATCCGCGCATCAAAGAAGCGCAGAAATGTGATGTACGTGGATCATTAGCTCTTCCTGTGTTTGAAAGAGGTAGTGGTACTTGTTTAGGTGTTGTTGAGTTTGTCACAACAACTCAAAAGATGAATTATAGACCAGAACTTGAGAATATCTGTAAAGCTCTCGAGGTTTTTCTCTTCCCTTGACTTTAACTTGAACCAAGATTCTTCAATGAGAAGTTTTGTTTGTGTATTGTAGTAGCCTAAAGAGATTTGGTTGCTGTTTTTGTAGGCTGTTAATCTAAGAAGCTCAATAAACTTGAAATCTCCAAGCATAGAGGTGTGTTAAATAGTCTCCTAAAACCAAAATTCAAGAAACCCGAAACAATGACTTTTTCGTTTGTTGTTGTTGCTAAAGGTCCATATGCTCTTTGTTTCAGTTTCTGCAGGTGTATAATGAATTCTACTACGCAGCATTACCTGAAGTATCAGACTTTTTGACATCGGTCTGCAGATTATATGATCTTCCTCTGGCTTTAACGTGGGCACCGTGTGCTCGGCTAGGCAAAGGCGGTTCCCGACATTCCGATGAGAACTTCTCAGAGTGTGTATCAACTGTAGATTCTGCTTGCTTTGTCCTTGATCAACAGAGTCATAATTTTCTTGAGGCTTGTTCTGAACATCATCTACTTCAAGGAGAAGGAATAGTTGGAAAAGCATTTAAAGCGAGCAAACTGTTTTTCGTACCCGAAGTAACTACTTTTTGTAAGACCAATTACCCTCTTGCACACCATGCTAAGATCTCTGGTCTACATGCCGCTTTAGCAGTACCGTTGAAAAGCAAATTCAATAGTTCTGTTGAGTTTGTGTTGGAGTTTTTCTTTCCCAAAACTTGCCTTGACACCGAAGCGCAACAAGAAATGCTCAAGTCATTGTCTATGACCTTGCAGCAAGATTTCAGGAGCTTAAATCTTGTCATTGATAAAGAGCTAGAGCTAGAAGTTGTGTTTCCTGTTAGAGAGGAAGTACTTTTCTCAGAGGAGCCACTTATTGATGGAGAAAATCTGAAACCTTTGGAAGACATTTCTCAAGAAGATTCCTCATGGATCTCTCATATGATCAAGGCGAACGAGAAAGGTAAAGGCGTGTCGCTTTCTTGGGAGTATCAGAAAGAAGAGCCAAAAGAAGAGTTCATGCTAACTTCTGGACGGGATAATAACAGTCATATTAGCAGAGACCACAACAACTTTCTTTCAGATGCAGAGCATTTTCAAAAGGCTTCAAATTCAAAACTCAAGCTCGATACCGATCCAAGCTTTGAATCAGCTTCATTTGGTGGTGGACAAACATTACTAGGAAGTAGAAGACCAGGT